CAGGTCGGAACGCCTGGAACGTCTCCCATGTCGCAGGTCGCGTCTCACACTGGTCGTGTTGGACGTCCCAACATGTGGGCGGGTCGGGCGTACAGGGCCACTGGGCGAAACAGTTGGAGTCGGAGTGTGAGATCTTGATGATTTTAACTTGGACATACTTGTGTTTACTTCAAGACCTTCAGCACATTCAAGGTCTTGCTGAATTCAAAGGACCGCCAAATACATCCAAGACCCACTCCCCAAGTGGGGAAACCCTCAAAACTCAATCCAGGCAGGTGAAGAATCCCTATACTTGGGTAAACAACCTCCCAGATGCACCTGGTTACTTAAAGTTCTGCCCCACCTCTACAAAACCATTGGAGTGTTGGGGGGTGCAGCGTCATTTCCCCATGCTCTTTGGGTCTATCTTGTTCTCTTGTATTACGGTGCCAACAAAAAAACGACAGGCAAGCCACCTTCCCATCCTTCCCCCCAGCCCCTCCGATGCAAGTAACCCTCTCCAAGAATACATGACCACTTGCAATTCTCCCTTCTCAACCTCCATGTCATAGTACTTGTCTCAGCCGCGGTGCGGAGTCCGGAGCTCCCCCCCCGAGTTCCGCGGTGTCGCCATCGCCAGATGATGTCCCCGTGGGTGTTTTGTCTTTCGAAGAAGGAAGGTTTTTGATTCACCACATCGACAGTGTCCAACAGGTCCCTTGCAGCAAAGTGCAGCCCTTCGTCACAGTTGTTCCATGGGCGAAGTCGCAACTGTTCATGCTTTGGGCCTGGTGGAGGTTCTTCACAGCCCCTCTGTCACCCGTCGGTCCGGCTAAACATGGTTGGTTCGCCTACTTTCTGGGCCTGCACAACAACAAGGGCCCTGACCCGGGCCCAGGGCTCCTGCGGTGGAAGAGCCTGTTTGTTCCTTTTTCTGGGGATTAAGTTAAATGTTTTACAGTTTTACCCGTTCCTATTAAGCAAATCCAAGTGCTCCTTGGAATGAACCCGCTATTTGTGTTATTTCTTCTGCACAGGCATCGGCAAGCAGGCAGCAACGTTGCAAAAGGAGAATGTATTGAGCAAAAGGAACCTAATAGAAATGGCCTCCAACCTACTTGCGATGGCCTCCAACCCATTGGCAGATTTGTTTGAGGCAAAAGGAACCTAATTGCAATGGCCTGCAACCTAATTGGAATGGCGAGGGGTCAAGAAACAAGACCTTCTGGGCAGTGTCATAGACCAGCAGTCATCTCAGACAATCTCAGAAACCAACAGTCATCTTCAGGACCCGGCTGAATGCCAAGGTGGCTTCGGATTGTTGTTGCAACTTGAAGTGCAACTTGAATAAAATGGCAGACATTGGCCCCACATCCTCTTGCATCAAGCTCTCGATATTACATATAAGTCTTGCAAAAAGTGAGTGCAAGTCTAATTTGAGATTTATATTATTTGATATTATGTGATACGTCTGCTAAGAAGTATCTAGCTTTCAACATAGGATTAAGATGGATTATAAGTTATAAGTATTGTTTTGCTCCAACTCTTTTTGGACAAAACTGACTGCCCCAAATCAACCTTCAGGAATATGTTTGTTCCCAGACTTTCTGGCACCCTCCATGCGTTCAGAATGATATAACTACTCCACCGTCCCCAAATCCTTCCGCCCTCCGCCCGGAACCGCCCTCCCAACCAGAACAGTCATCCCGCATGGTCCACCCGCATCGCTTCCCCCGCCGTTCGATGCGTTCGACTGGTCATCGTCAGAGGCTCCGCCCTTGGCGTCGATCCAGCGGCCCAGGATCGAGGCGAAGGGGCCCAAGAAGTCTGTCGGGGCGGAGCCATGACGCGTGGCGACGCGTATCGCGTCGCGATCCGCGTGGCGATCCACGTTCCAAGCTCCGTGCCGAAGTCGGACGCGGAGCTCCGCGTGGCGAGAGTCGATCCAGCGATCACGACGCGTCGGGATGGAGAGGCCGACAGCTCAAAGGCTGAGCGCAATCCATACGGATGGCGGAACTATCAATCAGCTGGTTTGGGCAAGGTCGGTGAAGCCAAAGCACTTCCCGCTTCCCACTGCATGCTTCTTCAGTACGTGACCTCTTTTACAGGCCCGTTGGTGACCTTAAACTGGCTATGAAAAGGTCACTTTGAAGAACCATGGCTATCACATCATGTCACATCGCTGAGACTCCTCTAGTAACTTATAGGGTTCAATGCAGGATAAGGCTTTAAGGGACCGATTCACTGTGCTCACTTCTATCACACTGCTCGCGGAAACGACAGGCAATCGAATCCATTTCTTTGGTCTTCTTGCCTGTCCAGCCACAAGCTCTGTCGGAAACAGGCCACCAGGCCACGTGATAAACCCCCCAACCTCGATCGCCTGATGACTTCAAGCTCCCGTTGGGGCCCTGTGGTCCTCGTTCCAAGGTGATCTTCATTTGCCAGGTGTGGCTGCATCTGGCTGCATGTTTCTCAAACCCTGCCTGGTATTCCCTGGTGTCCAGTCACATGAGATCAAAGCTTTCCTGACTCCTTGACCAACCAACTGGGAGGCTTCTTCACGCCGGGGCACGGAGTCCAGCAAAGTGGCCAAGACCAAAACCCCTAACTGCTGAGGCCCCACATCATCACCCCTTTTAAGAGCTTCTAATAACGTAGATTCTTGATCAGTTTATTAACACCTTTTGTATGTGTTACTGTGTTTGTTGAAGAGGCTTTTACCATAAGAAAAACACCTTTTTGCTGAAGAGGCTTTTACAATCCACATGGAGAGGCTTTACTATTCAAGAGTCTACATTGTATAGTATACCTCTGTTGTATGCCAAGGTCTGCTAAAGTTTGCCTCATTGATGCAAGTCATCAGAAAACCTTGAAGCAGTGACAGACTTTCAAGGTGTACTACAAGGCCCCTGAACTGGCTTGCCTTAAGTGGGTTAGACCCATACTGAGCCTACGTCACATTAGAGTACCTCTTGCCTATGCCCATCCTTCATGATCGCTCTTAGGTTGGAGGCCATCTCTATTAGGGTGGAGGCCATTGCGGTGGAGGCCACCGCCAGTAGGTTGGAGGCCATCTCTTCTAGAAACAAAGAACAAAACAAAAGGAACCAGGAGTCACAAAGGGGTGGTGTTTAGTCCTCAAGTGAGTGGATAATGGGCACCCCTAACCTCCATGGATCGCACCCCTTTCTGCTGGAAGAAAGGTCTCATACTTCATCTCCCGACATCGATCATGGACATGGCTCACACGGCACCCAGATCTGCGCCTTGCACCGCTTGCGCCGGCGTTTGTGCCTGGCCTTCCTCTGGCTCCATGGCGGAGCGTCGGGGTGATGGGAAAAACAACCAGGAGTCACAAAGGGGTGTCCAATGAAGTACCCCACACTACCTAGAGGCTTCCAGACAGGGCACCCCTTTGTGACTCCTGGAATTCACAGAGTTGTTACAAAACCGTCTGCTTTGCATGGCATGTACAGCTGAGTTTCTTTCGTTGGAGGCACTGAGGCAAGTCGCTGAGTCGTTGAGGCGTGGTTTTCTTCCGGTGGCTTACCGGTTGCCAACGCTGAAGATCGGAGATCAGGACGTCAAGGGGTGATTTGATAAAAATGCAAACCAATAAGCCCAGACTAAGCCACTCATCTTGTTTCTTCAAGCGAAGAACTTGGTCATTACGTTCAGTGGTTGCTTTGTGGCACGAGTGCCCATGTCCCCGTTCTTTTGCGGTGATTGGCTACCGATGTCCGTGCTCCCCACAGCTGTCAGCTGTCCACTGATATGAAGCAACGATCGCCTTTTGCAAATGATCTCCTTCTGATCTCCGTGATGACTGTCGGCCTACCATATCTACGATAAAACATCGATTTTATTAATATATAATGTAATAAGTTATTTAAAAAAAAAAAAACAACTGATAGTAGACATCGTCAGTGAGACGCGTGAGACTGAGTTTGTGCTTGTTTAACTTTGTCCGTTGGATATCTTCTAAGGCCAAAGGTTCCGAAGTCCAGCGGACGGAAGTCCGGCGGAGATCAGGCGACGGCTCTTGAGTTTTCGCTTCGTGGTGCAAAGCAAAGCGTTTTTATTGTTTTTCCAGTTCGGGCTATTTTTGGGGTCGACAGGCAGCCTGAAATCCAGGGCACAGCAGCCTGATACCTGATCAACTGCGAAAAAGAGATTCAGAATCGATTCATTGCTCAAATAAACGTTGTAAACATCGCTTCTCTATGGAACACCCGGCAAGTGATCTCAGCCATTCTTGGGGGAACGTCTGAAATCTTGAGATGTTTTAGATCGAAAACCCAAAGAAGCACATCCTGTAGGCTCGCAAAAGAGTTTCAAGCTTCATTCTATCCCGACCCTCAACACAGCCCCCGACACCTTCAAACGACCAAGCTTCATGAGGTGGAATCGGTGGAATCCGATATTGATACCAAACATACCTGCCCTATGTCAAACAACAAATAGAAATCCTAGAGCATATCATCATTGTCTCCTGCTTTGCTGTTTCCAGCTGAAAGGCCCACAGTGCTGCAGCTCTGCAGCTGGAGTAGATAGATCATGGATGATCATGGATGATCATGCTGCACAGACCGACGCCAGGTCGCCCCCCCCCCCCAAAAAAAAAGCTTGGGAACCAACGTGCTGAGCGACGAACTCCACGCAACCCCTTCATCCAACAAAAAAGAAAAGTTGACCTTTGCTACGAATAACATTGATTGATATATTTATATGTAGTTGTTCAAGGTTCCATTCTCCACTTCCATGATTGTTGGATGGAGAACAGAAGAACATGTCATGGTGGGGCTTGTTCCCCTACAATGGGTTCGTCCCTTGTCTTGTTGTCAGCGGCACGTATAGCAAATAACATCAAGCATACATTGACCAATATTGACCAGCCAAGCCCCATGTCGGACACATAGAGACAGCCAAGCCGCTACGATGCTGTTCCAGATCACATGTGACCCATTCGGCCCGTAAGTTCCAAACGAGGGAAGCGTTTCCCGCCACGGTGGATCCTTGGTGTGGTAATAGGCCTTCCGGAGACCCTCGTAGATCTCGTTGCCCTGCTCCCTGAAGGACATGGAACTTTGAAAAAGCACGAATACACCAAGACGGACCTTCCACGTATCATACTACGAACATCTAAGAACATCCAACAAAGAAGGTTTCAAACTTCGCTAGACAACATCAAGTTGACTATGACTATGTTAACCGTTGTTCCCACTTCCTCAGCTGGACAAATTACATGGAATAAACACATCATCGTGTGTGATTGTTTTGTTGCAAAGGTTTGTCAACTATATTTAATATGTTTTTTTGTTATTATACAACTATAAGCAAACATCTTTGACCTTTTGTAGCGCCCTGCCCCCAATCATGGAACATATTGCAAGACCTTCGCAAACCTAAACCTAGAGCCTAGAACTACAAGATATTTATATGCCCCTCGTTCCTGACTACAGTGTGGCCAGAGATAGAGATATGATATGATGGATTGATGCCACGAAAAACGGTTCTCGTTGGGGAACCGTTCGTCAAAGGGGCAGTTCTTATGGATCCATCTCTAGTGGGATATCCGGTGTTCAAAGTCATGTTACGTTAGTTTCCACTGCCACCTCCTTGGAAAAAAAACCAAAATGGAATGTGACAAATCTCCAAGCATTGGTTGGACTGTGCACGGATCCAAGCGAAAGAAAGCCACTGGCAACCACTGGTCCACGTGGCCTCATGTGAACCAAACCGGAAAAGAACCAAAGACATTGAACAAACACACTCAACGCTCCCCAAACACCCCAACCACTCCCTCAAAACCACTTGGCTCGACCCGGTCCACCGGAGGATCTTCGGCCCTGGCGTGCCGCGCGCGCCTGCGGAGCATGTAAAGGAACTCCCTGGTCTCCTTGGTCTCTGGGATGGCATTCTGTGAATCCTGAAGCCTCCGGAAGGTAGGCGGAAGGTGAGTCACCAGTCCCAAACCATCCACGTAACTGGAGGAGTTACTGTCTCAGAAGTGGTTTAAGGGAACATTTGCAGGAAACAGTTACAGTAGTAACTTGCGGGTGAGAACCGTGGTTTGCGTCCCTAACAATCCAGGCCCTCAACTACGTTGTGAGGGTCCGGACCCCTGCGAAGGTGTCGGGTCCGACCCCTGTCATAGGAGGGCCCGTTAGGATTATTTTAGGGATGTAGATATTCCTTGGAAAATCGATCCATACGATCAGTGATCAGTGATAGGATCATGAATGTTGTACCCTGACGCTCCAAACAGCTCCTGGTCCCTCAAAACCCTAGGGATTTGAGGGTCCGGCCGCCACTTAGGAGGGTCCATGAGCGTCTGGGTATGTAAAGAAAGGTCCGAAAGATGGAGACTCTTGGTCCTGGTTTTGGACTGAAACCATTCCGGACCGGAAATTGTCACGCAAACAAACGCATCTTTGGCCCCATGAAAATGACCCTTTTTCCCCACCTGCCAGGTGAGGGTTGGGTGCCTTATTTTGGTACCTGGAATGAAAAACGCCCCTGCCGGAGGGGCAAATTCTTGGGTCGAGGGTCTGATTTGCAAGTTTGCAAGTTTCAGTCTCAGCTATTGTTTCGCGTAACTTTATGAAGGAAAAGGCTCGAAAATGCTCAAAAGATCATCTAATCACATACTTTGCGGGAAATCCATGGGCTTGAACTGTTGATCTACAGAACATCCCCTCGGTGTTCATGTGGCAGCAAGACCTCTCCAACATGTCCAACAGAGGAGTTGAATTTTGCTTCCCTGATGTCAACCCGCACCTGGTTCCGGTGCACAGCCATATACCCAGTTGCGCTCGGAGGCGCTCGGGAAGTGTCTTCTTCCAAATTTGTTTTTTCAAGACCACGTTGTTGTTTTTCTGCCAATCGACACAGTGATGTCTGCCGATGAGGAGTACGCCACTAGGTTGATGATGTCAGGGATGGCAGGATTGTACTCGTCAGGCAGGCACTGTCCTGTGTTGGGCGTGCTACGTGTCCTGCTGGCCGTCTTCCCATGCTGGATGTGGTGCTCCACTCCATTTGTCACAGAGCAATGTAGCAAGCACTTTGCGGACATCTCTGCTATCAACGGACACCACTTCAAACGGGCCTGGCCCTACAAATGACAAATTGATGTTGATATAGCATTTTGTTGCATCATATGGCTCCATGCCAAGCATCACGTACAGGCATCCTGTAAAATCCAATTACAGGCTGTCCTGTAATTCTTTGCGGCCTGTGTATCTCATCGCCAAGTGTCCCTAAAGATTAAAACATCAAGCTTGACTTCCAAAACACATGCAACTGCTCAGGAGGCGCAAGTGCAAAGGCAATGCACCTCCTACATAGACCTATGCAAGTGCAAGCCGCTTGCATCCACTTGCTTTACATCTAAGGTGAAACTCACTTAGTGGTACCTGTAACCATTGGCATCCCCAAACACCTCCTACATCAAGCAAGGGCTATCCACCTGTCAAAATTAGTGTTGAGAGAGAAGTTGACCGCCCAAAAAGACAATTGACATGAACAAAAAGGACAACTCTCATGATTATACATCGAACACATTGAAAGCACCAGAGTCCAGTTTAGTCAAAAGGGTGAGCAAGGGTGCGCCAAAATTCCCATCAACTTCAATCAACAAATGACAATTCAGCTAGTGGTCTCTGACCACAAACAGCTCCAAAGTAGGTCCACAGCAGGATAGAACACCGTGGTCTATAGGTAGTGGTTCTTGCTTGAATGGAACATCTTGGGTTGAAAAGGGCCACTCAGGTAGGCAGGTACTTTAGCCACACAGTGGGGTATTAACCCGGAACAAAATGAACACAGAACATGTTGCTATAGCTGCAGCGGTTTTGGCGGAACATTGGGGATGACGCAGAAAAAAAACATGGTTACATGATCAGGCTCAAGCTGAAAGACCCCAAGACGTGCTCGTTCAAGACTTCAAGCTGAGGTGAAGACTATAGAGTACTATAGAGTCTAGAGGGTCCTTGCAATCAATTAATAGACGCTACCAAACAGTTCCATTCCAGCTTTGTCAACAAAACTATACATCGTTTTGAGGCACCACCTGCCCTCGCGCGTGATGGGGACGTCCAGGGACATCCCGCCCCCCAAGGCCTGCCTGGTCGCCATGCTTTTCACTGAGAGCAAGGTGGGGTTCGTGGAGGGCCTGGTCAGGCAGCCTGCCTGGGGGTCCCCACCTCAACTGGGTTCTTCCGAGGAACATTGAGGTTAATGGTGAATCTGTTCAGCCATGTGGGGTTGTGTCTTAGAATAGGGCCATTCCCCCCCAAAAAGGACCGAACATAAAAAAAAACAATCACCAATCCGGGAGTCATGTCATGTCTTCGAAAACACCGGGAACCTCTCCCTCCCTCCGACCCCTTCCGCTCGACCGACCCTTCGGGGACCGAACACCGTGCGGTCCCGAAGGGTCCAGGACCACCCAAGGCGAAAAGGAGGTACCATGGACCACCCTGGACGGTGTGAAGGTCCTGAGAGGACCTGTTTCATGGTGTTGCCGAGTGCTGGGATGTCCAGTTGATTCTAAGAGGGTGGTTTTTTGCGTGTGTGAAAGAAAGAAACTCAACTACCGTACCCTTATATGGCCCAAGCTACCCACTCCAGCCGCAAGGTTGTCACATGTTCACCTCAAAGTGGATTCAACGCATGAGCTTATGTTTATATGTATATGATATTATATGATATATGTACACTTTGACAAGTTGGTTTGAAGTGAGTTCTGCTGTGAATCTTCAGCATCAAGCTAGCTTGCTGGGGCCTGCAAAACGAAAAAACCATGACATTTGCCGGAAGATTGAGTGGCCATTGGGGAAGATTCTCCAGCGATCGATCCATATTCAATATTTGGTTTAAGGGAAAGTCATGGAACATCTATACAGGAAACATCAAGAAAACCTTAGGCCTTCACCCCCGAATCCACTGTGGGTGTTCTGACGGATTTTCACTGAAACCATCGCCCTGGGAAGAAAACGAATCCAATGACAAAGTGAGTCTCGATTCCCGAAGGAAAAGAGAGTTCCCACGGACAGTAAAAGGCCAATGGAAAAGGAATCCTGATTCAGCACTTGCTTGGCTGAAAGGGACAATGTGGTCAGGACAGCCTTTCCACTCTCAGCCACTTTTTACCTATACACCCTAGGGCTCCAACCACCTCCTGAGAAGATGGTTGGGGTGGGTTTGGGAGGTCTAACCACCTTCTGAGGATGTGGTTGGAGCCCTAGGGACAGTAGATAGAACCATCCATGTCTGTGCGTTGGAAGGGGACTGATGGCATTTCGCCAGAACTTGTCATTAGAACTATCAAGGTGTGTGACGGAGACGGCTCTCAGGCTCTGTTGCAACTTGGATTCTAGCGGGGGCTATCAAAGAGGTACTATCTATCGGTTGTTTACAGGAGTACTATACATATATATATAATATATTTTATATATTATATGGATTGTAGGAATTAACTCCGCCTGACACATATGTGGCAGTTGGACCCGTGAAACATCCGTCGCCAACAAAGTTCGCTGGTAGCTAGCCACACACCCCATCTGTGAACATTTCTTGGTCACTCTTTAGTGGTGGAACTCACATCAAAAACAACCAGTCTCTTGGCAAGAACTTAAACAACAAAACACATCCCAAATCCATCAAAACAATTCCTTGGGTCACATTGCTTCCGCGATCCGCCGTAAAGCCACCGAAACGGCTGGTTTGGCCGTGGGCCGTTGGGTCTTGCAGCGCCGGCCTCCTGTGGGTCTTGGACCTGGCGAAGCAGGTTGGGAAGGGCGTTCCAAGAGACGTGGCCTTCCTACGGTGTTTTTGATCTAATTCACTGCAATTCCAGTCTGACCCAGTAAGACTGGGTCTTGTACATCCTTAAATATCTTATGTCGCCGGGCCTGTCTTTCAATACATTGAGGTCTTCGACTTGCAGGGCTTGTTTTTGACTTCACTTGTTTCCAAACAATGTGGCCACACTGGGCCGGGGTTCTTACGGAAAGGGTTAAGGCCAGGCGTCTGATCGGAGGTTCATGCGTCTGTGCGCGGATAAACCGCTGCTATTTGTAGTGAATTCATCCACCTCGAGATATTCAAAATGCATTTCGACTGAGCAGGCTCGCTTAAATTTGCGGGCTGCGCAGGTGCTCTTCTTGACTGCGCTCTCGTTGTGGTGCCGTGCACATTTTCGGACTTGGCGTTTCGTGGGAGGCCCAAGGGAAACCTCGTGCTTTGGTGGTCCAAAGTCGAATTGTCGTGGCAAGCGCATCGCTTTGGACCACCAAAACGAGAGGCCCTTGCAGTGAAGCGTCACCTTTAAGCATGGAGGAAGACTCGAGCGAAAGCTGCGTTTTAGCATCTTGATGTTGTCTTTGGAAGTGCAGTGGCTGCGAAACTCCTTGGCAGGGCTGCGCGATGTGAATCTTGATGCTCAGATCTCGTGGCAAGGACAGTATTCTGTGGACCTTGAAGGGCAGGTTTTTCATCCAGCAATTGCGCACTCTTTTGTATGTGCTCCCATGAGGTGTGTGCTCTCATACGCGTGCTCTTACATGTCCCGTCATATGTGTGCTCATGTTTTATCCTTTTGGATCTCAAGACTGTTTGCATTAAATGGAGAGGGACAATACCTTGCCCTTGTCATTGTTTCAATACCCATGCCCTTCGTTTCAAACCACCCTGTATAACCACTGGAACCACCACGCTGCTGAGGCGAAGAGGAAGGGCCCAAGCTCTCTTGCTTAACAGTTGACAAAGAGAAGCTTGAAAAACCACTGTACTAGTTAGTGTCAGGTCCTAGTTGAGGGTTGGGAAGGGCCCAGGTCGAACCAGGTCGAACCTTTTGGAATTGCAGAGTTGGGTCCTTGAAGATGGAAAAGGTGATTCGTTCTACTTATTAAGGGAGTTGACAAGCACCCCCAGTCTTGAGCCACAAAGAACATTTGCTGATGTGTATAACTTGTGGCAAGTAGGATTGATTACAAGCTACTGCAGAAGGACAAACCATCACAAATCCTGCACGAGCCTTTAATAAAGGATCATCCACGATAAAGGATCATCCACAAATTCACTCTGCGTAGATCTGGGTAGTGGGATGGACTTACACAACGCTTGCGGCCTACACCCAAAACCCTTGGTGAGGTATTTAAGGCTGAAGGGAGATCTCCTGCACGACCAGACCCACGATGTATCATGATGTATCTAACTATTTTGCAATACCTATACTGTATAGTATAGCACACAGTCGTGACAAAACAACTCAAACGACAGGTTTCCAAATTCACCTTCTGGCAAGCATACCCACATCAAATGCAAAAACAATTGGAACGCCTACCTGGCTTTGTGTGTGTTTCTGCTCCTAACAAAACCCCCCAAATCTGAGATCCCCGCCGCACCACCTTCTCCTCCTTCACCTCCTTCCCCTCTTTCTGCGCCGCCTCCTTGCGAGCCTCCCAACAATGATCCCATCGATTCCGGGCCCCGGGTACCGGCCCAACGCCACCAAGGCCACACCGGAGGACGTCGGGTATGTTGGATGGATTGGCCACCGACCCCCTTCGATGCTCCTGGATCATGGCACGTTGGATCCACTGGCACCGGCATATATTTCACGGTCTCCTTCCGAAACCGTACCTGAGGTTCGGTACGACTACTTGCATCCCTAGGGAAGGTTAGACGGTTAGATACTATGTTATATGGTTCCCATTCGTCACATGCTGAGTGCTTTCTTCAACATTCATGACCTGGATGTTTGATGTTTTATGGCACACAGGGTGGAGGTGTGAGTTCTTTCCACCAGGTGCGGAGGTGCCCCGAAGGTGGAATGGAGTCGAACCCGTCAGTGCTAGGAGGTCTTGGAACCAAAGTGGAAAACCAAAGATGGGTCAAGTTGAGGCTTCCCCCGTTCAATCAACATGATCATGAACTGTTTGACAGGTGTGGTTCTCCATGTTCTCCCACAAAAAGGCTGTTGGACAATTGAACAAACACATTCTATTCAAAAGGCTACCGGCTTGCTGCAACCGGCTGTCTGAAGGTCAAAAAGCTTTGTTTCTGCTGAAGGTCTGAAGGAGTAAGGTCAAATGCTCGAAAGAACGTGGTCGCAACCGGCTCCGATCATCCGATCATCCGTGAACGCCAACGGCGGCGCCCACGGCCGCTGTCTAGTCTAAAAATGGCCTGGATTGGGTAATTGCTCGACTGAATGGACCTCCGCAAAGCTCTGGCAGGGTCTGAAAGGAGGTTCCATCCAGATACTGATTTGCCGAAGGCAACTGACTTGCTCGTGTTTGAGACATGTTGAGGCCCCCAAACCAACAGGCAGATATGAGAATTTAGCCATGGGGTCCAACAACAAACTTGATGACTTGTATATGACACACTATGATGCACAATGGAAACCACAACGGCTTCCACCCGGACCTGCTAAGCGCCGCTCAGCTTTCGGCCGCTCAGCTCGGGCTGGCGTTTCCGCTGGTCAAACCCGCGGGAAGTTCACGCGCCTGGCTTCGGACCTTCACCCCATAGTGGGAGAACAAGATCTTATTCTCGTAGAGGTCCTGCTACTACAGCTGCACTTCGAGTCTTGCAGAGTCGAAAAGAAGCGGGCCCGGAAGCCGGCCGCAAGCTAGCAGTCGATAGATTTATGTTCAAAAGCCAATTTGAGGTGGTCTAAAGAATGAAGCCAATCTGGAAGTAAACAAAGATAAGCCTCTCTTGTGGATTGGTGTCTAAACTTCTACGGGTGGTATACACTTCACCTGTTCATTCGCAGTCCAAACAGCTCCGAAATCCCCTTGCGGGTGGCTACGAGTCTTCGGGCATTGAGGTGTCAGGCGCGCATCGATTCAAACGGGTGGACCTTTCAACGAGCATGCAGACTCAAGAAAAGTAGTTAAAAACATCAAGGAAGCCCACCAGCTCTTTTCAGGTCATTCCGATTTCAGCCTAGAAAAGGAGTCTGTATCATGCAAAGGTTCTACCAGCCACCAGCGTCCATACACCACCATCCCCCAATCCTGAGCAGAGAAGAAGGGCATCTCCTGTGGAGTGCGCTCATGTGCGCTCGATGCCTTCCTAGTCTCTTAGTGGCTTGAGAACCCCATGTGATTCACCAGAGATGAACAACAAATTGTTTGGAGTAGTTGAAAGGAAGTAGAACAACTACAGAAACAACCAATTCCCTGCCATAACAAAATCAATGAGACCTTGAACCATTTGGAGACCTGGGAACCACGGAACGGTCGAAGCGAATCAAACGCTTGAAGGGTCGAAATTCGATCGAAGGACATCTATCTCAAAGATCAAGGCTCCGGTCTGGTCAATGGGGGAACCCCAAACTGGAGCTTTCCACCTCTGTTGGGAGTGGGGTGCCACCACTTTCTCCCCAAAAATGGCGATCCACCTGCAGGTGACCTATTACCTGGGTATAGCCTGGGTAGGTCATGATCCACCTAAGATCTTGGTCACTTGAAGTGCCTGAGGTGCACTTCAACATCACCAACTATTCCCTTGAAGTGAAGACACAACCAGTGACCCCCTATTGACTGGGTTGACTGGCTTCATGACTCCATTGGATTCGGATGAATTGGTTTGGTAGCATGTGCTCAGAGTGCTTCTTAGGTCCCAAACCCCGACTCCTGGAATTGGAAGACTTGGAGGTCGGCGGCTCCCAGGCCGGCCCCGCCCAGGAAGCCGGCGATTCACCCTAGGTTAGGCATTTTGTAGTTTGGTCCTTATCCTCTGCGCCTTCCAACAGCGGCCTTCATAAAAGAGGTGAATCATCGACCTTCGGCGTATTTTTCATTTCATTTCGCGACCGTTTGTAGGCTCAGGCCTATGGCGTAGAGCAGTCCGCAGACAAATGCTCAATTCGAGCTGCCACGACCTCACTGCCACGTGCTTAAAGCACGGAGTGTCAGTCGGTGAACAGCTACCGGGACTCCATCACGCCACACTTCCGGTAGCGGTAGGAGGTGCCCTGAATGCATGGGGTCCACTGCTGTGGTAGGACCAAAATAAGGTGCCCGCTCAGAAACATTGGCTTGTAATTCATGAAGGCGGTGAACGTGTACCGCTAGATCATGTGCCTGTAGAAGCTGCAACCCATTGGTCCACCCTTCGAGCGTGTGGCGCCACCACTCCAAGTCCTCTCCCTGTAGATCATGCTGCCCAACCATTCTCCCGTAGGAAAGTCGGCCCACAAGTGCTGCATGTCCTGCAAAGAGAGGCGCTCAGAGCATTGACGAGCAAAGGTCTGAAAAAGAGCTTCCTTGCAATCGCTGTCAACCGCAAAGGAGACCCCCTCAAGCAATAGATCCTGCCTGAGCTGACAGAACTCCTGCTCCACATACTGTAAGTCCTTCTCATCGGCACCCAAAACACGTGGTCCTACCAATGCTATTGCGTCTCTCCGCGTAGCACCAGGAAGAGCCACGAAGTTGTCTGCCGGGAGGTCCGTACGTTGGCTCTCAAACCAACCATATAGTCGAACCCAAGCACCACAGCGGTTGGACCGGCCCTGCCGCGACACATAGCGTAAGTGCAATTGCAACCTGTTGGCCGTCCAATAGTGGCGTAAGCAGACGGGGCATGTTGCCCCGTGGATGCGCCCATGTTCAGCATTGCGCCATTCATGCTTCTGAATGCGGTGCAAGCGCAAGGCCCGATGGTTCCGAAAAACCATTCCACATTCACATCTCAGCTGCGCCTGGTGAAGGAGATCTAAAAGAGTGTCCTCTTCTCCCCCTCGAACACATGCGCGTCCACAAAGTCGAGGAAGTAGCAAGACATGTTTCTGTCCAGCCTGCTTCACAATGCGTTTCCAACCCGGCCGTCCCCGGGTCCAATGAGACTGTAGTTCACTAAAAGTAGTGCCCCAGGTGCTCAAATCCATGGCTGATGCTAACCATTTCAAATCCTCATCAAGGCCAGCACGCCAACCATCGGAAAGCTCCTCAGTCTCAGATTGAAGTTCCTCCAAGACAAAGGATGGCCCATGCCGTGCCAAACGAGCGGCCAGGAGTAGCCTATGCTGCGCCAGCCGCACCCTGACCGGAACACATTGAGCCTTCATCAAGATCTCAACGTCGGTGAGCACATGATTGCCATCATACTTGTTCTCTTTGAGTGTTCGACGGAGCATGTTGCTCTGACACACTTGCAGTCGTCGCATGTCCTGAGCCCTCAGCAATGGCCAAGATCCACAACCATAGTAGAGCTTGGTGAAGACCAAGGCTTCCAGCAAGAACAGGCGTGTGCCTTCCTTCAGGGATGAGTTGGTGAAGATCTGTCGAGACATGGAGCGAAAGGCCGTCCAGGCCTGACCCACCCGTCGATGAATTTCTTGCCCCATCAAACCTCCTGCTGAGAGAGTTGTGCCCAAGTGCTTGTATTGCGCACCCAACATCAAAGCTCGTTTGCCAGGCCCAAGATGGAGAGTGTCCAGTTCCAAGCGTGGTTGTAGACGAAGATTCTCTCTCATCTGTTTGGCACCAGTTCCAGCTGGAGTCAGTAGGGCTTCACTCTTCCCTTTGGACATGTTTAAGGTCATTCCTCTCTTCTCAAAAGCCTGCTCCACAGCGAGAAAGATGTGCCCAATCTCCACCAAGAGATTCTCGTTGGAAGATGCCAGCACAGGCACCGCGAGGTCATCCGCCCATACTATCTGCGTAGCGCGAGTACCACAGGTTTGCCGCATGTGCTGCTGTTGTGGCCGAGCTTCGATGATCTGTTCCAACTCCGTCACCACAGGCCCCATGAGGCAATGGAACATAGCATCAGCAAGAGGACTCCCAGGTCGTGTGCCTCTCGTAGTACGCACCGCCTCCCCATTCAAGGTGGCCCAAGTACGACTATGTAGTTCACGAAGCAGCTGGGTTGTCATACCATCCGGCAGAATGCCGGGAGCATGCAGGAGCTTCTGAATGACATCCTGTTCAAAGCCCTCTTGGGTCAAAGCGGCCTGGAGTATGTCTCGATCTTTAGCATCTCCCAGCGCCGAACCCAAAACCAGCTCTCTCACAACCGAGTGGAAAGCTGCCCTCAGGTCAACAAAAATGACTGCAGCTGGCGCTCCGTGGTGATAGGCTCGCCTCAAGAAGGTTTGCACATACAGGCTGCCAAATGCGCACTCTTGGTGGGCAAAACCTCCCAATTGACCAGGAGGTCGATCTCGAGCTGCCCAATCCATAACATGGGGTCGTAAAAGTACATGAACTCGGCGGACCAAGACTCCCAACAGCATGATGCCCCGGTACAGCCGCCGATACTGGCATAGGAACCTTTGGCAGCATGTGAAGGATACCACCTTTCCACTGTATGGGCTCCTTTGCCGTCCAAAACATCTTCAAAACCAGATCGAAGACCCACGGTGCCAAAGATCCTGCTCCAGCATGAATCCATTCTGACGGCAATCCATCAGGCCCAGAGGCCTTCCCAGGACGGGTGCTACGAAGAGAGTTCTCAACTTGCACTAAGGTAGGAATTTCTTCCAACTTGCACATCGTCCTGTGGGAGGTGAACTGGTTGTCCTCCAGGAGCAGCTCTTGATAGAGGTTCTCCAAACGGTCATGAGCTCCAGCTTCAAGTTGCTCCAAATGAGGGTGCCACTGATCATGTAGGGACTCATGTTGCACCGCTGGCCGTGCTTGCTGACGGGCTCGGTTCTTGGGCAGATGCCGCTTCACCAGCAACCAAAGTTCCTTGACCTTAGTAGGTTGGTCACAAGCGGTCCATTCTTCTGCCAGTCCATCAAAAAAGGCCCGAGTATCTTGTCGTTGGAGCGCAGCAGCTTGGTTGCGCACACGTTTGAAAACAAGGTACAATGATGCCCACTGCTTGGCCCAGTACTTCTCTTCCTGAGCAATGAACTGGAGATCCCAATGGTGATGGCATTGCTGACATTGTCCCTGCCAGGCCAGGAAGAAGGACCGGAGCCCAAGAAGTCGTCGACCATATTGAAGATGGAGAAGATGGCCTCGCAGTTCAGCTTTATACTCAATCACCGCCTTGGTCTCCGTGGAGAAGTGTGGCTTGCGGTGAAAGGGCTGCCTCCTAGGGACAACCCAGTGAACCCCATCCGAAAACCGCCGTGTCAGCTCATGAGCATGTTGATGGACATCCAATGCCCAATCGATGGGTGGCATGTAGTGAGTGGCCCATTCCATTTGTGTACAAGCTTCCAAACCAGGGCCCAGTGGCTGCAGAGGTGCTGGACGTTTCACCGTCAAACAAGCTTCACTGCCTGGTAGATGACACCGAAATTCAAGACATACTGCATGATGGTCATGGAGATGCCCGTGCGCTTGCAACTGAAAATCCGTCCATGAGCACATGGAGGTAAACTGCCACCGTGAAGGCACCGCGATATAGTCTATCCTGCTCTGATTACCTGCAGGATGGGTCCAAGTGTGCCCCGGGCCCATGTGGAAGGAACTAAAAGTTGACGGCACCCACAGGTGTGACGCAATAAGGAACTCATGAAAACATGCCCCATTGCCATTCTCCTCCTCCGCATGATGCCCTTGAATTGCATTGGAGATACGAGAGCCAACTCGTGCATTGGCATCCACCAGAACCAACATGTCCTTGGCTTGTAAGTACGGAGGAAGAACTGATCGAAGGGATGTCCAAAAGGCTTCAACCTCAGCTTGTGGCCTTCCAGTATGGGGTGCATGAGCCACCGTCACCAGAATGTCCAAAGAGCCATACCACACTCGTGCAATGAGCAATTCATGGTCACTAGCCACTACCGAGATGTGTTTCTCTGCCAATGCCTCCTTCACTTCTTCTGCTCCTTGGACACGAAATAGTCTGCGGTGAAGGGCAAGAAGCACTCCACCATGTCCCTTGTGACTAGGGTGCGCCACCGTGACATACTCCGGGTGTCCAAGACGAAGACGTTTGAGTCTGGTCTCCTGCAGGGCCACCACCGCCATGTGCTTGTCATGACATTGATCAAGGAATCCCAGTGCTGCTGCATGCGCAGACACATAGCGCTGAGACAAAGTCATGACATTACATGTCACCATTTTCAGACGAA